CCCTCCCTCCTGCCCAAACCCCCCACCCCTTTCCTGCACCCTCCCGCCCAGACGCCCCCCTATTCCTGCACCCTCCCAGACGTCCCATCCCCAGCCCACTCCTGCACCCCCCTCCCTCCCAGACCTCCCATCCCCTCATGCCCACACCCCCTTTGCCCTCACACAGCCTCCCTCCCACTGAAACCCTGCATCCCCAGCCCGCTCCTGCACCCTCCCTCCCTGACCCACCACCACACCCCTGCACCCTCCCAGACCTCCCACCCCCAGCCCTCTCCTGCACCCTCCTCCCATCCAGACCCCCATCCTCACTCCTCCTGCACCCATTTTGTCATCCTAGGTGGTTGGCTGGCGGTCCGTAGAAAGGTTTGTGGTGAGCAGGTTGGGCTATAGGCCAAAAAGTTTGAGAACCACCAATTTAGCCCCTGTGCTGACTTAGGGACCTGAGGCTCCCAAGTTTATCTGCTGAACAATCCTAGAGCCCGAGAACTGGAAGGGACCTCGAGACGTCATCCAGTCCAGTCCCCTGCCCTCACGGCAGGACCAAGCACCGTCTAGATCAGGGCTACACAACATGCGGCCCGCAGCCCATTTGTTTGCGGCCGACTGTGCGGTTCGGGTTTACGCGGGGCTCAACACATGGCCCACGGGTGGGATCCTTCAAACATGGCCTCCACTGGGAACACGCTCCACCACGGCGAGGCAACAGAATGGTCTTCTGTTGAGATGCGTTTTAGTAGTTCAATTCCTGGACTGTCATTGCTCATTCAAAGTGCTGTCATGCGGGTGGAAGTTGGGTCAATATTGCATTTTATTAATATCAGCTGAACTGATTTAAATGGGGCCTGTGTGTTGTGTGGTCTTGCCTTAATCTTTGTATTCATGCCCGCCAGTGTGAAAGAAGCTCTGTGCATATTTATTTGCATGTACATGCAACCACAATTAAGTTGTGGCCCTCGGCATGTGCTGTGCATATCACTGTGGCCCCCGGGGTGTCCAACGGTTGACTAGCCCTGGTTTAACCAATGAAAGGCTGCTCTTTGAGGGGCGTAGCTTTCACAGGGGCATTGCAGGGCTGTGGTAGCCATGTCGGTCCCAGGAGATGAGACACAAGGGGAGTGAGTCATAACTTTTATGGGAGCAACGTCTCCAGAGGGTGACTCTTTTGCTGGCCGCTTACACAGAGACCTGCTCCGAGGTGGGGCCAGATCAGACACGATGGTCAGAAATACGCTTTTGGTGACCCTAAGCCTCTGACTGCCAGAAGCCGGGAGAAGACGGCAGGGAGAGAGCCTCAAAGTGCTGAGTTCGCTCATGCTCTCTACATCAGTGTTTCCCAATTTAATTTGCCCACGGAGCCCCTAAGGCCCCGCCATGTTTGGTTGAGCAAAAAACAAACAAAAAAAACCATCCACCGTGATTCCAGCACTGTCTCTTTAAGAGGGGAGGGGGCCGGCTCTTCGCGGAGCACCAATTGGGAAACACTGCTCTAGACCTTTCATCATTTTTGCTGCTCTTCTCTGGACCTTCTCCAATTTCTCCACATCTTTCCTGAAACGTGGTACCCAGAACTGGACACAATACTCCAGTTGAGGCCTAATGAGCACAAAGCAAAGCGGAAGAATAACTCCTCGTGTCTTGCTCACAACACTCCTGTTAATGCCTCTCCCACAATCATGTTGGCTTTTTTTTGCAACAGCATCCCACTGTTGACTCATATTTAGCTTGTGGTCCACTATGACCCCTAGATCCCTTTCTACAGTATTCCTTCCTAGAGTCCTTCTAACGCCCCACCTGCACCTATCACCCCTGGGTGCCAGGCACGCCACCAGAGCCTGCCCCACTCTCCTCCCCGCATGACATGAAAAGGAAGAGTAGGACAGCAGCTCTGCCAAGATGGGAGAGGAGTCGGCGGGATGAGCAGCGAGGATGAAAGGGCCAGTTATGGCTTCCAGGGGTAAGAGTGGACACTAGGCTAGTACCAAGGTGCTTACCAGGAGCAATGACCTGCAGGTATCTGGCACCTGCCGCCTCGCGCTGCTGACATTGTATAGCAGCAGCACAGGACGGCAGGCAGGAGCTGGTACGTGCTGTAACAATATGGTTTTTCTGTACCCACACTGGAAGGCCTGTCGCCATATTGGAAGGCCTAAACCAGTATTTCTTAAACTTTTCAAGATCAAGGAACACCAAACAATAATTTTTTTTAATGAGGAACATCAAGGACTTTTTGTTGGGGGGGAAAAAAAAAAAAGGTCGGGGGGAAAGTTATTGAGCAGAAAAAAAAAAGGGTCACCTGCCCCTTTAAGTGTGGCCATTTTGAACTCTCTTGTGTGGCACACCTCTGACTGCCTCACGGCACACTCGTGTGCCACAAAACACAGTTTAAGAAACACTGGCCTAAACTAAAGCCTTCCTCTGCAGCCAGACTGAAGAGCAGCAGCCATGAGCTGTAAACCCTGCAGTCACAGACTCACATTCCATGTAAATGAAAGACAGGACTATGCAACACTTTAAAGACTAACAAGATGGTTTATTAGGTGATGATCTTTCGTGGGCCAGACCCACTTCCTCAGATCAAATTGTGGAAGAAAATTGGTATGACCATATATATAAACCATCTCGTTAGTCTTTAAAGTGCTGCGTAGTCCTGTCTTTTGTTTCAGCCAGACCAGACTAACACAGCTACAGCTCTATTACTATTCTAAATAAATGGCATTAAAATAGTGTCACACTAGGCTGTGAGAAGGGGATCCTGTCCTAATGGCCCCCCACTGTCACCAGATAAAGAAACAGATTTCAAGATGGGTAAAGAAAACTTAATTAACAGCATTTCGTCTGGCAAGAAACTGCTTATCAATAGCTGAGATTGGGGAATCCTCATTCTATAATTATTGTCCTCACATTCCTATTGTTGGTCTGCGTGAGCTCTGTCTGGTTTGTAACTGTTTCTGCCTGCTGTATAATTGTGCTAGGTGTACATCAACTAAGATGGCGGGGTATGACTGGTTAAGTAATTCTGTTACAGAATGTTATGACTGGTTAATAAAATTATACTAAAATAAACGGTTAAGGTATAGCTAAGCAGGACTAAAATGATTAGGGGTTTGGAACGGGTCCCATATGAGGAGAGGTTAAAGTGACTGGGACTTTTCAGTTTAGAAAAGAGGAGACTGAGCGGGGATATGATAGAGGTCTATAAAATCATGAGTGGTGTGGAGAGGGCCGATAAAGAAAAGTTATTTATTAGTTCCGTAAGTAGAAGAACTAGAGGACACCAAATGAAATTAATGGGTAGCAGGTTTAAAACTAATAAAAGAAAGTTCTTCTTCACACAGCGT